TACTAAACACACCACTCCTATCTGGTGTCACATTAGCTTGACCGCGCAGTGCCCCAAATTTAATGTGATCTGTGAGTAAGGTAAACGGTTGTCCACACAAGTAGGTTGCAGCTTTTTGAGGGCCCACACCACCGCCATGCACTCCTTTTCAATGGCAGTGAATATACTTCGCTGTGCAAAAGTTTACGGCTTAGATAAGCCCCGGGTTGTTAGCCACCATCTGCTCCGACTTGGCTCAATACTGCTCCCAATCCAAGCATAGAAGCGTCTGTATGGACGAGAAAGTGTTTAGTTGGATCAGGAGAAGAAAGTACAGGTGATTTAATGAGCTCCGTCTTGAGCTGTTGGAAGGCCTGTTCACATTCTGGGGCCCATACTACTATCTTGGGGAGGTTTTTACACGTTCCTATATGGCACTTACTGGGCTTAGGGTCAGTCCGGACTCCCTAATCCGGTCTATTACGGCTCCTATGTGGGTCAGGTGTTCGGGCCAGGAGCTGCTAAAAATGTCTATACCATCCAAGTAGGTGTGTATCAGTGTAATCCATATCTGCTAAGTGACCCCTATGTTGGGGTAACATTCCCTATTCTGCTCTGTGTCAGTGTGTGTCAGGATCCCAGGACAGGTGTCAATCCATATATCTGCCAAGGGACCCATGTTGGGGTAACATTCCCCATTCTGGATCTGTGTCAGTGTGTATCAGGGATCCTTAGACAGGTGTCAATCCATATCTGCCAAGTGACCATACAAGTTAGCACATTCCCTATTCTGCTCTGTGTCAGTGTGTATCAAGACCACTGATAGGAGACGCGGAAGGTATTAAACTGATAAAAATAGTACTAAACACTCCACTCCTATCTGGTGTCACATTAGCTTGACCGCGCAGTGCCCTAAATTTGCAGTAAGAGGACCGACCAAGGCTCTTCTTCCATCTCCCTGTTACAAAAATCAATGCCGTGTACACGACCACTGATAGGAGACGTGGAAGGTATTAAACTGATCAGAACAATACTAAACACACCACTCCTATCTGGTGGCACATTAGCTTGACCGCGCAGTGCCCCAAATTTGCAGTAAGAGGACCGACCAAGGCTCTTCTTCCATCTCCCTGTTACAAAAATCAATGCCGTGTACACGCCCACTGATAGGAGACGCGGAAGGTATTAAACTGATCAGAACAATACTAAACACACCACTCCTATCTGGTGGCACATTAGCTTGACCGCGCAGTGCCCCAAATTTGAATTAAGAGGACCGACCAAGCCTCCTTCTTCCATCTCCCTGTTACAAAAATCAATGCCGTGTACACGACCACTGATAGGAGACGCGGAAGGTATTAAACTGATCAGAATAATACTAAACACACCACTCCTATCTGGTGGCACATTAGCTTGACCGCGCAGTGCCCCAAATTTGAATTAAGAGGACCGACCAAGCATCTTCTTCCATCTCCCTGTTACAGAAATCACTGCCATATCCATACAAATTGTACAGAATGTCCAGGATAGTTTTCCAGGGACAAATGTTGTCGCCTGTTGAACGAGGTGACCTTGCTCGGGTCCCAGGTGTACGGTTCCCAAAATGGCTGCCATATACACGTCCACTGATAGGAGACGCGGAAGGTATTAAACTGATCAGAACAATACTAAACACACCACAAATAAGGCTTCTCTCCTGTATGGCTCCTCAAATGATGCTTAAGATTAGAAGCGGCTGAAAAGCATTTCTCACACTCAGAACAAAAATATATTTTTTTAACATTCTCTCCACTTTGAACGAAATGACATTTGGGAAGAGATTAACATAATTAAACACAGGCAGTAAAAATACAGTTTTTAGCCATACCCTGTAACTTTAAAACTACACATCCCATCTTCATAATTACATATTTGGAATCAGCACACTTAAAACATAAACATAAATCTCAAAAATCAGCCAAATCCATCCAGGGTGAAAAGTTAGTTGAGGTCCTCTTTTATGACCAATCATAGCACATTTTCCTCTGCCCAAACAGTTCCATATTTGGCCAGAGTCGTCTATTTCAGGTTGAAAATCCATCTGTCCCATCGTGAATGGGACTTAGTCTCTGCAGCTGAAATAAGGCTGAAAAAAAGACTAAGTCCCATCGCCGAATGGGACTTAGTCTCTGCAGCTGAAATAATTTCCCATTTACTGAACCAAGTGGGAAATAGCAAGGCAGTCACAAAGGGTTTGCACCAGGTCTGGGGACACAGGGGACACCGTCTTAAAGGGGCCGTGTCCCCAACAAGTCTGGGGACACGGCCTTAAAGGGGCAGTGTCCCAATCTTCCTGATGTCCCAAAAAAGGTGTTTAAAGGGCCAGCACCAGTCACATAAAGAGTCCATAGGCCCCAATATGCCCACCGACAGTCTTAAAGGGCCATACACACCAAATAAAAGTGCATACATTTTCACAATCTCCCAGGGGCCATAGTCCTGCAGGAGGAGGCTGGCAAGTAGGCTTCTCCACAACCCAGGGAAGCAGGGCAATTTGCCATTTAAAGGGCCCGTTACAAATAGCAGTTTGTAACAAGGTGTCAATCCAAATCTGCCAAGTGACCCGATGTAGGGGGACCAGTCCCTATTCTGCTCTGTGTCAGTGTGTATCAGGGAACCTTAGGACAGGTGTCAATTCATATCTGCCAAGTGACCCTATGTAGGGGGACCAGTCTCTATTCTGCTCTGTGTCCGTGTGCATCAGGGGCTCTGAGGACAGGTGTCAATCCATATGTCAAGGTGTCAATATGTCATATGTCAGGTGTCAATCCATATTCATTGTGATTTAGGAATGTTAGGTGATTTCTGCCCTTATGGATTAAAACCAGACTCTGTATCAACTGTGTAATTTTCCATGGGAGTTTTGCCATGGATCCCCCTCCGGCATGCCACAGTCCAGGTGTTAGTCCCCTTGAAACAACTTTTCCATCCCTATTGTGGCCAGAAGAGTCCCTGTGTGTTTTAAAATTCGCCTCCCCATTGAAGTCAATGGCGTTTCGGGCGGTTCGCCGGTTCGCGAACATTTGCGGAAGTTCGCGTTCGCCGTTCGCGAACAGAAAATTTCGGGTTCGCGACATCACTAGTCAGCATGTCTGTATGTATGTTTGTATGTATGTGTATGTCAGTATGTCTGTCTGTCAGTATGTCTGTCAGTATGTCTCTCTGTCATATGTATGTCAATATGTCTGTCTGTCTGTCTGTCAGTGTCTGTCTGTCAGTATGTAAGTATAGATCATTGAAGATGATGAAATTGTTGATACTATAGTTGAAAAACCATAGTTCAAGGGCAGTCGGGAAGGGACAAGGACTTAAATTAGCAATTTATAAAGGAACAGAAAGTAAGTGTTTTGATGGGCATAATAATCCCTGACCACCTGCAAGCGTTGGAAAGCCAAGATTTCCCAGAAGGGTGCTTGTGAATTACCCAATCTCCAAAGAAGAATCTCCCAATCTCCAAATTCCTTATTTGAAATTGTGTCTGTACATGTGTCAGTGTGTGTAGCTTTCTGTATGTGTATCTGTGTCGTTTTGTATCAGTGCGTGTGTTTGTGTCTGTGTGTGTATTCCTGTGGGTGGGATTAGGAGGGCCCGGGGGGCGGGCTTGGAGGTGGGCCCCCGGTGGGGCCCAGACCTTGAGCTGTGTTAGGGACCCCGAAATTTCTGATGGCGGCCGTGTCAGATCCCCTTACAGAGGTGCAAAATGACAGGTTGGAGTCCAGGCAGAGAAAATGTTCTGCCAGGTAAAGTGAGAAAGGCCAGTAATAATAAACTTCTGCAACCAGTCAAATTAACAATGCATTCAAAATTTTTAGAAAATCATCTGGAGCTTTAGAATGAAGCAAGCCTCAGTATTATGTAAACCTTCACTGCACCTTGTGAGTACCAACTAGGGTGCTAGTAGTTCCTATGTTACCAAACAGTGTGTTGATAAAAACATTAGAGCTCCAGGCATCCTCTAACATGTTTAGGCACATCCATTAATACTTACTACTAGATGACCACAAAATATCAGCACCTTGAAACCTTGTGCAATTTACATTCTACTGCTGACATTTTTTACAGGCAGAGAAGAATAAGTGTGTAGAGGGCCCTGAACATGGATGGTGGGCCTCGTCTAATCCTCTGGACCCTAGATAGCAACCGGAGGTCAATTTATAGTTAATCCTGTTCTAATCAGAAGACAGACTGAACGAAATAGAAAGACAGAGAGAGTGGGAGTGATTGAAAAATAGATATTCAGGTTAGGTCATTTTACTTCTAACTTCTGTTTATTCCATGCAGCCTCTCTGAGTTACTCTATAATCCATTAGATGATTATCTTGAGAGCCATGTGCAAAGAAGAAGGTATATTTAAATAACATATTTCTTGTTTGTGGTGAATATTAATGCTATTCCTATTTTTGTGCTGTTCACATTGTAATACTAATGAGCCTACAGAAGAGAAAAATGCTGCAAACAATTGTGCCTGTCATGAAGCTTAAAGAAAAGATCAAAGGAATTTTTCATTTGGTGCAAATGAATGAAAACCTTGTTAATTCCAAGTTACTATTAATAAGCTGAATGTACAAACTGTTCAGGCAGGAAAAGGCAGCTGAACCCACCTACTGCTGTGTTGAGAGTTCAGATGCAAATCAATAAATAAAGAATTGGCATATTTACATCGATGTAATTTTATTTGCTTGCAGTTATATGTTTGTGTATAGAAAAATTGCAAGCAATCAAACAAATGTCACAAATATTCTAAAAAATAGTTTCAAACAAGAATTCTGCAAGAGCACCTGACAATAATTCTGTGGCAAGAATGTAAAGTATGCATAGATCATATTAAATAGTTAGTGTTAAAGAACAAAATGCCATATGTTTTTAGATTCCTGTAAATATATTAAATACTGACCCAAACAGTTGTATTAATGGGTTAATGGGTCACTTTCAGCACTTAATGTTCCACTACACACAATATAAAATATACACCATCGGCTGCTTACTTAACACGAGTCATTTGATAACTGACTTATTAGACTATATAACCTGAAGAAACACACACAGTGCAGTAAACATATTAATGGCTGCGGAAATACAATATAAGCTGCTACCTGTAGAAATTGGTTACTTTTTTCTGAAAAGGATGCTAGGCAATGTCCTGCAATGTAAGTAAAATTATGGCTATGGTGAAATTTAATGCCAGTGGGTTTAAATTTAGGGTTAGATTTAGGGAGAAAATTTAAATTTGACAATTTGTGACATGTAGAGTAAAAATGTAGCGTTAGGAAATAATTTATACTTTTGCTTACAGTCTCTCTAAGTTAAAAATCATAACCCAAAATCTCACTAAAGAAGATCATATGATTATCCAGGGTGGCTGTATCTCTTGTATAGAATGGAATGGCATTTTGAATAATCCCATTCCTTAAATGTAACCTACATTTGATCCCTAACTTCAAATTTAAATTCGACTAACTCTTAGTGATATAGAGCCCTTCTTAACCTTCACTATAAACCTTGCTGAACATGCTTTTTCAGTCAGTGTGGTGGACAGGGCTTGAGTCCTGCAAGAACGCGTGGGAAAAGTGTTCCTGCACTTTTTTCACAGCAGGAACACCGTTCCCCCTTCAGGCACTAACCAGGGGGCGGCAAAAAATGCCACCCCCATATGCCCCCCATGTTCACCCTGTAATGGGGGGGGGGCACCTGATGGACCCCCCTGACGGGAGCCTTTCTACCTGTCACACGTGGCAAGGGAGCTGTGTTCTCTCTGCTCTGCTCCCTTGCACGCCATCTGCTGATGCTGGGAGCCGAAATATGACATCATATTCTGGCTCCCAGCATCAGTAGACAGTCCGCAAGGGAGCAGAGCTGGGTGCTTTTTTAGGACTCGCAGCTCCCTCGCCGCGTCTGATTAGAACAGCCGCCTGCCTCACTGCAGCCCCACTGGACCCCAGGGACCCATCCATTCCAGCTTTCCCAAAAGATAGGGAGACTGGGTGGGTGGGAAATGTTAATTATGATATTATTAATAATTTGTATGTATGTCTGTTAGTGTATGTCTGTGTGTATGTCTGTTAGTGTATGTATGTCTGTTAGTGTATGTGTGTGTGTTTGTTAATGTATGTGTGTGTGTATGTCTGTTAGTGTATGTGTGTGTATGAGTGTATGTCTG